AAAGTACCGCATTATCTCCTCACTCTGTATAAAAATTCATGCTCGATTATGCTCAGAGGTTAGCTATCCGACTCTTCTGCGACGGACAGTCATGGACCCATTTCGCATCGATAGGCAGTCGACGATCTAGCTCTCTTCTCTCTTCTCAGAGGCCTCCTGTATGATATAGACCCGCCTGGGTTAGACCTTCCAGGCTAACCGTATCAAGTTTTGTACATTCAGAACTGGCCAATACGATCGCTCCTTTGTGCCTAGGGTACCTAGATTGTGTAACAATCTATATGAGGAGTGTTTTCATAGCTCTACTCATATTGGGCGGGTCTAAATCGGATTAACAAAGTATTTTTAAGCTTCTTCGGTATAAAAAAATCATGTAACGTCCACTAACATATTTTTCCATCTTCCTCTTACTCTGCCTCCATGTCGAATGTTGGTGCTTCAACTTGATAAATTGCTACTTGGAAAACTGACGTTCTCCGCACCATATTTTAGATCTTCCGTCGATGAGTTGTTTGGTCCTCCCACTGATCTCTTACCAGGGATCTCGCCTTGTATTCATATGACAGAGAGTTTCGTAGCAGTAACATACCATATCATTGCATGACAAATGTACTGGAGCGTTACTGGAGTTTTCGTTACTTGATTGCTGTCAAGAGTTCCTTGTTTTAACATTTTACGCGTTATGAAAATTTTGGTGACACTAAGAAATGTGTTTTTTGGATCCACAGATATTAGGAAGAAAAAAAGATGTGACGCCACTGTATCCTTATGATCTTTCCATCGGCTTTTGCGTGTCAGATTTAAATATCCATGGAGCGATGTGAAATACGAGTCAAAAATTAAAGTTAAGAGATTTAAACCTCGACGTTTCAGTGTCCATAATGACGGGTGCTTTCCACTGGAAAATATGTGGTAAGTACAAGTACATACTAAGTCAGTGCCAGTTGGGCTTCCACCTTACGATCTATTGCATTGTAACGTTAAGCTGCTTTCACAGTAATGTAATTCTCGTTTTGTACTTTATTTTAATCTTTTATTTCATTCTCATAAAAGTGAGGCACAGATATTTTTACCATTTTTACTACGTATTCGTAACTATTTACCAAACCACCAGTCAGCAAACTTCATTGTGACTTTTTGGAAAATCGTCGATTTAAAATGTGCTAATGTTCAGGACATTGGTAAACATTTCTAGGTGACTATCTTACTATTTGATTTTTCGTAGAAACAACTCTCTGAAGAATATTAACGAACGAAATTTTCACAGCGCAAATAGTTGGGACGACATATCATGGTGTCCATGGAATACAATCAACTCAGACACGGATCTAGCCCCAATGCAATATTGCTAATTTTTCCTATCCCAACGCTTTATAATCAGCCGAACCCCGACAGGGTCGCCAAAAGCTCACATTTCAATAAAGCGATCTGAAATTTTATATCAAGGAGTTTCTTGATTCGCTGATTGTGAAACTGTTAACAAAGCTACAACGAGTGTTATTTTTAAAGTACTTTAACTTTATTTATGAATGTAAATTATATCACAAACTATACTAAGTGACATATAAATCCGAACACCCAGTTTAAATGGTTTTATTTTAATAAAATTTTGTATAAGTACTTAATGAAGCATAATAAGTAAATGATAAAAATTTCAAAATGATTGCACTGCTTTAAAGCCCTTTGGCCTTTAATATTGTGTGGATGCACGCTGATGTGCTTCGCATTCTCCAACGCACCTAGGCATGCTTCTGATCAGGTGGTAAATGTCCTCCTGTGGTATCTCATTCCAGGCAACCACCAACTCCTCTCGAAGTGCTTCTAGAGTCTGAGGAGGACGTTGCAAATTGAGAAATCTGCTACCCATCATATCCCACACGTGCTCAATTGGGGATAAGTCGGGAGATCTTGGTGGCCATGGTAACAATGTGACATCATTATGTTGAAAGAAGTCTATTGTGACTCTTGCAACATGTGGTCGGGCATTATCTTGTTGGAAAGTTGGATCTGCCAGGGTGTCAAGATAGGGTAAAAGATGGGGCTCTAGAACTTCGTGGATATAACGCTGCGCATTCATGTTACCTCTGATGAAGATTAAAGGTGACCTGGAACCAGAAGCTATAGCACCCCAAACCATAACAGTGTGATGAACATGTCTTTCAACAAAAAACTGTGGATTCCTCCTTTCACCACGTCGCCTTCTAACCCTGGCACGACCATCGTGCATGCCTAAACAAAATCGAGACTCGTCACTAAAGACAATACTGTTCCATTCCTGATCCCAGAGTGACCGTTGTCTGCACCACTCAAGGCGATTACGTCGGTGTTCTCGAGTTAAAGGGAGGACCCAGTGTGGCCGGTATGAAAACAAGCCAAAACTTATCATTCGTCGGTAAACACTTCGCATGCCAATAGGTCTTCCGTGTTCTGCAAACCATTCATTTGCAATGGACCTGGTGGTGGAGAAACGGTCCCTTAAGGCCAATAATCTTAGGCGGCGATCTTCACGGTCTGTTGTTCTACGGCGGCGTCCAGTGCCCCTTGCTCTTTGCGTACGGCCTTCTCGAAGCCATGCCTGACAACACCTAACCACAGTGTCTACACTTCTTTGCACTCTAACTGCAATTGCCCGAAAAGGAAGTCCAACTTCCCGAAGTCCCACTATACGGCCCCTATCAAACTCACTAAGTTGACGAAATCCTACAGGTCTCCGTACTCTAGGCATCGTAACCGATCGTAAAGGATGTCAAGAACCAAAATCCGCCAACGTTGATTCTTTACTGCGGCTGAAATATTCATTTTTAGAGCGTTAGTGAATTAAAAAAAAGCAGTATAAAAACCGGAATGTCCAACTGATAAGGCTGAACATTTTTTCACTTGTTATTTACAATAAGATAAATACATTCACCAACTTTTATTAATATAAAACCATTTAAACTGGGTTCGGATTTATATGTCACTTAGTATATATGTACATTTTTCTGGTTTGTATGGTGGATAACCTAGTAATTCCCAACGAAACATGACCAGTTTCGGCTGTGTTCTTGTCGCAACGTGGGGCCGAACGACGTCGCTAGATAGCAGGCCCCGCCGGAAGTTGTGAATAGCTCGCGTAATTCCACAAGCTGCTGATGAATTTCATCTGGAGGAACATTTTTTGCGTTTGAAAACCTAATTACCTGAGCGCACCTCACAATATGCGGGCTTACAGATTGACACGGTGACAGACAAATGGGTATAACCACACAACCAGCACAGACAGAGAGAGACATGAAAGGCAGTGTAGTGAGAGATTCGAAAAGAGTGTCTGAGGTTGAACAGATGTCACGTGGCAGGATGCATGGGCACGATCGGTTCTTCAAGAATAGTCCATATGATACTTGAGACTGTACCAATACTGTTCCAGGCTTATTCAGGTAGGGAAAACTCGGGCAAGAAGAACCATAAGGGCAAAAGGAATCAGTTAAAAAAAATTAATTTCAAAATTCCCGCCACTATCTTCTATTTACTTCTATCAGATACTGTAGTTCTCCAGTGTTTGTTTTGATACCCATCTCGGTAAGCTTATTTTTCATGTTTTTACCGCCAATTTAGAAAATGTACCCGTCTTGGATTCTTGATCATGGTTTAAATATATAGATGGAAATTATTTTAGTATTGTTATAAGTTGAAGCATTGAATTTTGTGCCGATGAATAACGTTTTGTGTAGATTCTAACCTCACATTAATTGTGGCGCTGTTCTAGGGTTTGACATTTATAAATAATATTTTCTGTGCAAGAAGAACCAGGCAAAATGAACCGGTTCTATTTGCCCGGCTCCATTTGCCCACAATTCCGTTAGATATATTTTTTTTTTCAAAATTGAATATTGCTTCAGAATACTAGTTTTCAAGTATAAACGAAAAACAGAAAGAGCCCAAGGATGGGACGAAAATATAATGCGGTGCCGCTCTGCAGTTTAGAATTCCATATCCCACTTTACGAAAACATTTTTTTAAAGCAGTCCTCCAGCAAACAACTCTAACGGTTTAGACCAGTTTTTTCTGGCGATATGGAACAGCAACTTGTACCACATATTCAAGAAATGGACGCCCGTTTTTATGGGTTCACAAAACAAGACTTATGCATTTTAGCATTCAAGTTCGCAAATCGAAATAATTTGCCACATACTTTTCGTAATCGAACAGCTGGCGAGCAATGGTACTCAAATTTTATGAGGCGACATCCCGAATTAAGCCTTAGAACTCCAGAACCTACAAGATTTGCCCGGGCTTGTGGATTTAACAGGACATAAGTGCAATTATTTTTTGGTAATTTAAATAACCTTTCTCAAAAATATTTATTTATTTGATGTGGACAATATATACTACGTGGACGAGACCGGCATTCAAACGTCTGCAAAGAGGCCACCAAAAGTTATTTCTTTTAAGGGAAAAAACAAGTGGGCTCAATTTCATCGACCAAGAGGGGGCAGCTGGTAACCGCAGTATGTTGCTGTTCTGCTTCTGGAAAATTTATCCCTCCAGCCCTCATATTTCCTCGGAAGAAGAGAAATCCAAGATTGTTGAATGGCACACCACCTGGAACTGTAGATTTTGTAAGCGACAATGTTTGGATAAATAATGAGATCTTCTTATAATGGATGAAATTTTTTATAAAATCTGCTAGACCATCTTCAGCACATAAATGTTGACTCATATTAGATAATCATATTTCACACCGATCTTTGGATGTGTTGGGATATGCTTCTGAAAACAACGTAGTAATCCTTTCTCTTACTCCACATACCACGCATAAATTACAGCCGCTTGATGTTGCGGTATATGGACCCATCGGGAAATATTTTGAAAGAGAGGTTCATAAATGGCAAAAGCAACATCCTGCACAACATATTACTTTATACGAATTAGGTGCATTATTTGGATCTGCTACTCCTCAAAATGCAATCAATGGATTAAAAAAAAACAGGAATATTAGATGGCAATATTGATGTTTTTAGTGACCTGGATTTTGCTCCTTCTCAAGTAACAAACAAGGAATATGATGCCAACGAAAATCAAAACCTTGCCGCTAGTAATGGTCAATCTACATCTCCAAGTTCACCTATTGCGTCGTGTTCGAACCATCAAGAAACACAGCGTTTTTCTCCTGCTCCATCATGTTCCTACCAATCCGCTTACGAAAATTCAAATTACACCATTAACTGCAATTAAGCCTTTCCCAAAAGTTAAACAGAATGATTCCAAAAGAAACACACAAGAACACCGAAGTCAGAAATTTTAACATCTACACCCATTAAAGAAGAATTAAGAAACCAGAAAAATAAAAAATTACCCAAGACCAAATTGCCAGATGAAATGAAACGTGCAAAGAAACCTAGAAGTTCAAAGTTGGAGCAAACTGAATTGCAGTACCCAAAGCCACCGGTACATAGAACGGATCTCAATGAAGAAAATGTACCATGCCTCGTCTGGGGAGATATTTTTGGCAACTCTAAGTCTGGCGAAACATGGATTGAATGCTATATGTGTCAAAACTGGGCTCATCAATTATGTGCTGAGTACAACAGAGGTATCTATATTTGCGACAAATGCAAGTTATCAGTTTTGAGTTCCTTGAAATAAATAACTGTTAATAGACTTCCACTTTTAGTTATGTTTGAAATAAAGTTCTTCTTGCTCATATGTATTTCATACGCTGATTACTTTTGCCTGAGGCGTTGGTTCTTATTGCCCTCATATGTGGGCAAAAGGGATCAAAAGCAAGTTTTCGTTTAATGCTTTTTTTAAGATATATTACTATAATTATATCTTTGTATAATATATATTTTGTTTCTAAATGTAATAGAGTCTTATTTCCCGTTAAAAAAACAACAATTAGGATTCAATAGGAGATTTTAAAAGCTGGCGACTTAAGGTGGTTCCTTTTGCCCGAGTCTCACCTAAATCAATTTTTCTGTAGCGTTTTTTAGGTCCTGTATGACCTAATCACACAGTGTTGCGAAAATCTTCAATAGACAAGACATTATTAGAACAGTCGAAAGAATTACTCACTGATTTTTTGCCCCATGTTTTGGAAATACCCTATATATCTACGACTTCTCACGAAGACGCTTTGGAGTATTGAGCAAGGCTCAATATGCACTATTTATATTGAGACGAAGTACTCGTAGTATCCGTTTTAACAGAGAAGCGAATTCATTAAGTGACATTTACCCGGTGCTGGCCTGAAAAAGAAAACAATCTAGCACTCGCTAACTGTTTTGTCTCGCTATTTCATGGTGGATCTTCTTAGGAAATCTCCGCAACCACTTTGTAAAGTTCGCAGATTAAGATTTCACTTAATCTCCAACTACGAGCGTATTCTGCACTATATTGTGTTTGTTCGTATGCTAATTTTATTTAAATTGGCATACCCCTCTGCAGTTACTAAAGTATAGAGTTTTCCACTGGTGTCACTCCATCAGGGACGGACTTGCGTACCTGAAGCAGTTGTGCTATACGTTGTTTCAATCTCAGCTATATTAGATTGTATTGTTATCGAGGACCGAAAGCTACTGAGGGAACTGCACCATGCATTTCAGTAGAAGGAACATGTTTAAAATGTCTCTGATGACATTTTAGATCGCAGTGTACGTTAAAAATAATACTGCTTCTAAGAATTGCGACCATTGAAAACGATTATATAAAGCAATACCCAATGCATTGGGCATACATTCAAGGGACGATCCTTTGGGATTCTAACGGGTGATTTTTTAAGAGGTATAGGATTTGATTTTCAAAAAAAACACAAAAAATTTGAAAATACGATTAAATCTTTATTTGAGTCGATAGAACGGTCGATATAGTTTAATTTTTAAAGATTATTTCATGTAAATGTTGGCAGCGGCTCCGCTTTAGATGGCCCATGCGCAAGGTCCAATTTTGGCAAACTCTCTCCAACCTATCGGCCGGTATCTCACGAATAAATGCTTCAATATTGGCTTCCAGTGCGTCAATCGTTGCTGATTTATCCCTGTAGACATTAGCCTTAACATGGCCCCACAAGAAATAGTCCAACGGCGTTAAATCACACGATCTAGGCGGCCAATTGACGGGCCCCAAGCGTGAGATAAACTGTTCACCGAACTCGCCTCTCAATAGGGCCATTGTTTCGTGTGCGGTGTGGCATGTGGCACCGTCTTGTTGAAACCACATGTCAGCCAAGTCCAGCTCTTCCATTTTGGGCAAAAAACAGTTTGTTATCATCGCACGGTAGCGCTCGCCAATTACAGTTACGTTCCGGCCATTGTCGTCTTTGAAGAAGTACGGCCCGATGATGCCACCGGCCCATAATCCACATCAAACAGTGATTTTTTCGGGATGCATTGGTAGCTCTTGCAATGCTTCTGGTTGGTCTTCAATCCAGATGCGACAATTTTGCTTGTTAACGTATCCATTCAAGCAGAAATGAGCTTCGTCGCTGAACACAATTTTTCGATAAAAATGTGGATCTTCCTCCAACTTTGCCAGGGCCCATTCACCAAATTGGAAACGTTGTGGGAGTTGTGTGGCTTCAATTCTTGCACCAGCTGTATCTTATAAGGTTTTACACCCAAATCCTGTCGCAAAATTTTCCACGTAGTGGAGTAACAGAGGCCCAATTGCTGCGAACGGCGGCGAATCGACATTTCACGGTCATCACTAACACTGGCGGATACAGCCGCAATATTTGCTTCAGTCCTCACTCTACGTCTGCGTGTTGGTGGTTTAATGTCCAATAATGTAAACTGGGTGCGAAATTTAGTCTCAAGATTCCGAATTGCTCCCTCAGTAGGCCGACCAAATTGCCCATAAATTGGAAGCAGTGCTCGATGCACTCTCTTAACCTAATAAATTTTGATAATAAAATTCAATAATTTGCAAGCGTTGTTCATTCGTAAGTCGATTCATGGTTAAATTATAGACCAAACTGAACAAGTTTGACAATGGCACAAGACGCGTCATCTGTCAAAAACACTGTGGCCAAAAAGATACTAGCAAAAAAATCACCCATTATCTGCTATTTTGCTCTGTGACAATTCTAGGAATACGGCCACTCAATGCTGTCATTAGAAATCGGATTTTCTTGGATATATTTGGAAAAGCATTGAAATTAGTATCTCTAGTTGAAGGCTACATGGCGATGCCATTGAAAATATTTAAGTCATTCAGGTCACCAGGCATACAGACTATCCCTAGCGGCTGCGAGCTCCTCTGTGACACAAGATCTGGAGATTATTTCTAGTAATGGGCCGCAGTACTGACAGTACTTTGGCAAATAAGAGGTATCGATCAATTTAATTTGAAACATTTATTTTATATAAACTATGTTACATAGGTGTACAGGTATGATGCCTCTGGCTTATATATAAACAATAAAAAGCAAAAAAGTATTGCTTCTGCCTATAAATTCAAAATATGTACTTCTTGGGAAAGGGGTGAGATACGAGGAAGAAGATAGGGGACGCAGGATAAAACCCTTTCACAAAGTATTGTTAAGAGATATAGTGCATATGACGTTTGAATTTTGGAGGCTTAATTTGACATCGCTGAGTGGGCTGGCTGACTGGATTATCTATCTACTTTAGTCAACATCGGCCTCTCTGATTTGTCTTCCTCGATGTTATAAAGAAATTTCTTGTGCGCCTCATCCAGGCGTGTTGTCATTTTTTTTTTATATATCGAAGCAGTCGCGCAGGCAGAAGCCTAAATGCCGGAACACCGCGGTTGCTATGACGATCCCAAAGAAATTTTATTAATACGATTCTTGAACTGCCTAAGGTTAATAGAACTGGGAAACGCCTCCTCTTGTAGATTGTTCCATAATCTCGACACCCTCGGGACAAAGGAGCGGTCGTATCGGCCGGTTCTGGATGTACGAAGTTCGACACGGTTGGGATGGGACGCCAAAGTCGGGCGGGTCTGTCTGGCAGGCATATCGCGCGGCGGCATCATGGAAGAGAGCTCTGAGGAGCAAAGCCCGTTGGTGTAACGGTAGAAAAGAGCCAGATCGCCGACAGCCCGTCGGTGCGAAAGAGTCCCGGGACTTTCCGTTATAGAAGAGTCATCGATCAGTCGGACCGCCCTCCTCTGGACAGCATCGAGCATGGACAATGTAGTCGGGGCGGCAGCACCCCAAACGTGTGAGCAATACTCGAGGCTAAGCCTTATCTGGGCCTTGTATAGAGTGAGAAGGTCATGCGGAGAACAGTACTTCTTAGCCCTAAACAAATAGCCTAGCTTTTTCCCAGCGGCTACAGCTATTGATGAGATGTGTTCGTGCCAGATCAGGTCCTCGGTGATCTGGACTCCGACCAGCCGAAATGAATGGTTCTTTGGCAGAACTCGACCATCCGTCGAAACCAGGTGAGCGCAGTGACGCTTTTTGTTCGTCAAAGTACAGTACTGCGTTTTGGAAGCATTGAACAAGATTGTTGCGTCCACAAGCAGTGATAGCCTCCAGATCTCTTGTCAGAGAGGAAGTCATCGCTAGCCTTCTTTTTTCCAGCTCAGCGGCAGAGATCGGCTTGTCACTCTGAATTCCTGCATGTAGAGTGTTGTCATCAGCGAAGCTGTGGATTGGATTGATGCAGGAAATGGGGTCATTGATATGTAAGAGAAACAGTGTCGGAGTCAAGACCGATCTCTGGGGAACACCCGCGTTGACGTTGTGGGATGAAGAGGAAAGCCCGTCAATTACGACGGATATCTTGCGGCCAGAGATAAAGTTAGCCACCCATCTGCAAATCTTTTCTGGGAGGCCATAGGATGGAAGTTTGCTTGAGAGGGCAGCGTGCCACAGCTGATCGAACGCTTTCGTGAAGTCAAGAGCAACGACATGAGTCATACTGTCCTTTTGTAGCACATCTCGAATTATGACATCTGACCAAATGATCTACGTATTGTGACAACGTGTGTCCTGCAATGTTTTCTACCGGTAGGTCTGCAGCGTGTAAGTTCTACAGGTAGGGACTGAGGATAGATCCATTTGGTGCTCAGTAGCGTTGGTGATATATCTTTGTTTTGGCATGCTTGTTTTTGCCGCGTATTTGTTGGATGAGCAAAAAATTTTCTATAATTTTGATAACATTTGTTAAGGATATCGGTTTGCGCGACTTATAAATATGAGCACTATGATTAACAGAGTCAAAGGCTGAGGTCGGTAGTAACCGCTGATATGCGATGTCGTTGTCCAAGTGCATTTGTAATGAATTTAGCTATTCGAAAAAGTTGCGTTTGTGATCCGTTGACTTTAGAGAAACAATGCTGATATTCTGGAATTATTTTACTGATTCCTTGGAGTTTAACTTTTACGGCAATTTTTTACATTGTATTGAGTAAAGCGCTTGGCCTGTATGGTTCTGGTAGTCTACGATCTTTACCACCTTTATGGAGAAATAATATTTTTCCCAATTTCCAACGCTGAAGAACGTATCCAGTAGTAAGGATCCACTTTCTAACATGCACCATTTGAGCTTCAGCTGTGCCCCCTGCATGTTTTATAGCATTGTTTTGATTACCATCTGGTCTTGGTGCTTTTGATGATTTGAGCGTGTTTATTACATTTATACAATTCAAGAAAAAGTGAGAATGGGATATGTTTTCTGATCACTTGAGATTATCTTGAATATTTGGTTCTTGAACTAAAGTGGCATTTACAAGTTTATTCAGTGCTTCAACCTGGTTTACACTCCCAGGGATTGTTATTGGAATGGTTTCTTCTATAATGCTCTCTAGATTGTCCAGGATTTTGTATTGTATTTACTTTCATTCTGCAATAATTTCAAAAAATATGTTTCTCCCTCTCTTTGTATTTGATCTTTGATTTTGTGTTTTGAATCACACAGTTCGTGTAAAATAGCTGATTGCAGCTGATTCCTTCGTCGCAACTTTTTAGATAAAAAATGCGTGTGCAATGAGAAGCCTGACACGCAGACTCACTGACAATTTTTTTAATACTTGGAGTATAATTTGATACGGCCATTTGAACACAATTATCAAATGTTCATCTGTAAGTCGAATACGGTATTTGTCTTTAATAAACTTCATATTTGAAAAAGAAGATTTACACAAATAGTTGAATTAAATAACCTTCAAGGCAACACGCCATAAAACGGAACATTTATCTTTACTTACTGAAGGCCAGATACATTTTGTAATTGAGATTAATGATTTTAAGGTTAAACCATTTTGAAACGCAATCACTTTCATTTCTGTCGCAGCGATGTTTTCGCTAAAATTCTGAGTAACAGAAGTTTAAAGCTGTTGTTTATTAATTTCCGTGGAGGGCGAAACAACAAATTGTGCCAGTACAGCAAATTGTTGAAATCCTTGAAACGACTTTTAAGGTTATCCTCCAATTTAGAGACTATTTATACATGAGATATACTGTCATATGGTTCTAACGGGCTTTGAGATATTTTTTCTGAAAGAACAGGAAAATGCCTAGGATCGAAATCGATTGAGTTTTGTTCCCAAAACTCAAGCTAGTTCTCTGTCTCTCCCCTGAAGCTGCAAATTAAGTTCGTTTAATTTTTCTGTAATATCCTCAAGAAAACCAAATTCTCTAAGCCAGATTAAATTTTTCAGTTCCAGAATCGATTCATCACGTTGTTTGAAAAATTAAACTGTGGCAGATATGATTTCACTAAAACGTTTCAACACTCGTCCCCTACATAACCATCAGACTTCAGAGTGAAGAAGTAGTAGTATTGACAGTCAATTTTATCGGCCAAGGTTTTGAATAATCTTCGTTCTATCGCTTGAGATCTAATTTTGTTCACAATTTTTACCACCAATTTCATAACGTTGTTTAATTTTAGAAAATGTCCACATAATGCTTGCTGACGGATAATGGAGTGGTAACAGAGAAATTGCGGAAAACTTTCATCTTTACGACATAATCCCACGAGACCCTTATCACGAGAATTAATATTTTCAAAAGAAGAAAAGAAGTCCTGCCTAGTAGTATGTCCTTTTAGTGGAATAAACTTCAGAGATCTTCTTTAATCGTAAAATCACTAAAAACCATCCTGACGAACACGGCCATATGAGAGATGTCATCGACATCTATCGATTCATCCAGCGGCAGTGAAAAATAAGCACATCTATCGAAGTCATTTCTTGACTGTAAAACTATATCATTGTTCATTATTTCTGCTCGTCTCATCACTGTAGTAGCAGAAACTTGCATAGATTTTATAGCAGATACTATCTCGTCTTTATTTCTAAAGTTGACAAATAATGAATCTGCAGCTTTTAAAAACGCCTCTTTTATCATTTCCCCGTCTTCATAAGGTTTCTTCTTTTGTGTAATTATTTGGGACACCCGGTATGATGCTTCAGTTGCAGTCTTACTTTTGTCGATTGTTTTTAAAAACATTGTCTGTTTGCCACGCTCTTTTTTTTAAAATTAAGATCACTTTTTAATTTTAAGCTAAAGTTATTTCTCTCAATTGAGGCAATGGATGATTGAAAAAACCTGGGGGTTACTGAGGCTAAAGCCGTGGTTTAGCGTTGGAAAATTAGGCCCTATGCTCAGGTACACCGGAGAGTAGGGGGGGTATTTTTTTTAGGGGCGCCACCAGCTTTTATCCGCCAAAACTGCAAGACGCCTTGGTGTTGAAAGGCACTCTTTAGCCCAAAACCCCAAGAAACAAAAACAAAAATACATACAAACAATAGATTTTCTGTGTGGGTAAATAATTGCTAAAATTAACATCAATACATTTTATTACATCTACTAACGGCTAACAACAAAAATTTAAGCCAGCCAAACTAGGAGATCTCCCTTAATGCGAAAGCTTATTGACTAACTAATTTAAAATGGGCGAGGAAGGCTTCAAAACCGATGCCGTAAGAACCCCTATGGTGGAAAAAGGTTCGGAAAGAGGTCCCCGGTAGAAAACATGTCAATGGATCTCCAGTAGCGAAGTTTCCCCCAAAATAAAAGCCCTAGATGATGTCGGGTAGGGTTTTTCACGTGGTTCCGTCTGGCGAAAAGTGTGGCTGAAGACAATAAGATCCTACAAATTGTAGAATATCTCGGGTACCAAAGGTAGACGAAAAAAAAAAGATGCTACGCACTCACAACAGGAATGACCTAGGAAATTATCTAAGAAATTTTCTTCCACAATCCAACGAAGATGCCCCAGGCAAAAAAGAGGAAAATTTCAGGTCTTCTGGTACTAGCGGGACAGAACAAGATGGCCATCCGATAGTGGAAGGAAGTCCCATCCCAAAATTTAATTTTTTCGACTTGACATTTCCAAATATAGTTGTACGCCTGACCATTAAGAGCCAAACGTTGTCGGCTAATCCCACAATGAGAAGGTTCCTAATATAAATTCAAGGAAATATCGTGAATAAATGTAGCAACACTGTCATATCTGCATATAAATTTGTTTGATTAATAAACATAAGGAAATTCTGAAATAAAATTGGCAACTATGCGGAACAAGCGGGGTGTGCAAGTAGTTCGGTACGCAGAATACTACCTCGACATCAGCGAATAATAAATTCATCTGACTATAAATACATAAAGAAATACATAGTACAACAGGTGAGTAATAATATTTTTGCAACACAAATAGTTTTTAATTCAGAAGGTGATATCAATTTATAGATATACATTTAGTTATTTATTTATATTTAGCTCCGGAGTGACAAACCGGATTGTTGTTGGGATTTAAACAAATCCCCGAGGCGAAAATTTCGATATTGAATTGATTTCTTGACGGTGGAAGATCTAGCATGGGATGGAAGCAACCGAGTTATTTATGAAAATATGTGGAGATGAATACTAAAATTATTACTCATGGTGAACCAGGGAAATTACTAGGCAACACAAGAAGAAATTGTCCATATCAGGGTGAGTAAATTCTTCAATTAATTACCTGAATGCATGGTAAATTGACTACACATTTATAACCTTAGTGGTAGAAACTGTAAAGATGATCAAAATGGAGTGCAATTGCTGTACGTTAAATTTAATAATTGAAATTTTTGGATTATAAAATAGATCAGGATGGATTATGTTTAATTGATTGAGAAATATTTGGTTTCAGTTCCCAAATTGTTCAGTGACATGGAAGATGCTGACTACTATATACAGGCAGCCAAACGACTACAGATGAAAAACAACGGATACAAATTAAAAATTATAGTTATTCCGTGGTATTCATGTGTTATGTTTGTTATTTCAAATAAACATGATAATAGGTAAATGTCTGCGTGTTATTTATTTTGGTTATGAATTACGTGAGAAAAATATAGCTAAATACACCGTTAAAACAAGCCCTATCTTGGGAATTGGCCAATGAGCCGGTCTAGTCATTTTTGTCAATAAAATTGATTTAATAATATGCTATGAATATAAATAATATGCTACGGAGATTATTAGATTAGATTATCGGCTTTTGTTTCTTCCTTCTCAAGTTCTTGCTGCATTACTTCAAATTAAACTTGTGCGACAACAATAACAAAAAAAAGAAATATATGATTCATTGGCAATAAAAGGCAACTGTTACATGTTGTCCAATTAACTGATTTTTTAATGGTTTAATTTTTTCCGTTTTGGTTACAGAACGTAATGGGAATGATTTTTCAAAATTCGAATGTACAGTTTTATAGTGCCTCTCGATATTTTCCTTTTTAGCAACGGAAACAGATGTATTACATAACAAACATACATTTTTACCTCTAACTTCTGTAAAGAAATATTGTTCTTCCCATTCCTAATGGAAATGGTATGTCTTTATCTTCTGACTACTACTCATAATGTTTTTAATTGTAGGCCAACTCCAACCCAACCGCTGGATTTTGTGCGAATTTATTCCGTTCAAAGTAATCGAGATCGTTCTCGAACAGATCCCTCACCGCAGTGTTGCCTCTGCTTGTCTTTTTTCTGAGAAACAACAACAAAATTTACGGAAGCTTCTAGGATTTTTACACCTTTTCAAAATATGTTGTGAGCCACCAGAATTGTCTTTGTGAGCTACCGGTAGCTCGCGATCCACTGGTTGGCGACCACTGATCCAGAGCATTTATTTGATTTCTATATTGTTCTGGTGTTTATGATGATTTGAATATGTTCATTACATTATTCATATCGCGAACGGTTGTTTCAAGAGAAGGTAAGCATAAGGTATGGTTTTGTGATCCCTATAGCAGCATTAATAGGGTTGTCCAGTTCTTCCACCTTGTTTCAGCTCCCACCGATTGTTCTTGGAATGGTTTCTTTCCTTAATGCCTTCTGAATTCTTCAGAGCCTTTTGTTGTGCTTACTTTCATCCTGCAAGATTTTCAAATATATGTTTTCTCCTGTTGTTGTATTCGATCCTTGTTTTTTTGTTCAAAGCTTGTCCCTGAACGATTGTTTCAGTTTTTGCAGCTGATTCGTTAGTCGCAAGTATGTCGAGACTGATTCTTGACTTTTTATGTATTTCTGTAATATGAGCTTGTATACTAAGTGACATATAAATCCGAACACCCAATTTAAATGGTTTTATTTTAATAAAAGTTGGTGAATGTATTTATCTTACTGTAAATAACAAGTGAAAAAATTTTCAGCCTTATCAGTTGGACATTCCGGTTTTTATACTGCTTTTTTTTTAATTCACTAACGCTCTAAAAATGAATATTTCAGCCGCAGTAAAGAATCAACGTTGGCGGATTTCGGTTCTTGACATCCTTTACGATAGGTTACGATGCCTAGAGTACGGAGACCTGTACGATTTCATCGACTTAGTGAGTTTGATAGGGGCGGTATAGTGGGACTTCGGGAAGCTGGACTTTCTTTTCGGGCAATTGCAGTTAGAGTGCAAAGAAGTGTAGACACTGTGGTTAGGTGTTGTCAGGCAAGGCTTCGAGAAGGCCGTACGCAAAGAGCAAGGGGCACTGGACGCCGCCGTAGAACAACAGACCGTGAAGATCGCCGCCTAAGATTATTGGCCTTAAGGGACCGTTTCTCCACTACCAGGTCCATTGCAAATGAATGGTTTGCAGAACACGGAAGACCTATTGGCATGCGAAGTGTTTACCGACGAATGAGAAGTGTTGGCTTGTTTTCATACCGGCCACACTAGGTCCTCCCTTTAACTCGAGAACACCGACGTAATCGCCTTGAGTGGTGCAGGCAACGGTCACTCTGGGATCAGGAATGGAACAGTATTGTCTTTATTGACGAGTCTCGATTTTGTTTAGGCATGCACGATGGTCGTGCCAGGGTTAGAAGGCGACGTGGTGAAAGGAGGAATCCACAGTTTTTTGTTGAAAGAGATGTTCATCACACTGTTGGAGTTATGGTTTGGTGTGCTATAGCTTATGGTTCCAGGTCACCTTTAATCTTCATCAGAGGTAACATGAACGCGCAGCGTTATATCCACGAAGTTCTAAAACCCCATCTTTTACCCTATCTTGACACCCTGGCAGATCCAACTTTCCAACAAGATAATGCCCGACCACATGTTGCAAGAGTCACAATAGACTTCTTTCAACATAATGATGTCACATTGTTACCATGGCCACCAAGATCTCCCGACTTATCCCCAATTGAGCACGTGTGGGATATGATGGGTAGGAGATTGCTCAATTTGCAACGTCCTCCTCAAACTCTAGAAGCACTTCGAGAGGAGTTGGTGGTTGCCTGGAATGAGATACCACAGGAGGACATTGACCACCTGATCAGAAGCATGCCGAGGCGCGTTGGAGAATGCGTAGCACATCAGGGTGCATCCACACATTATTAAAGGTCAAAGGGCTTTAAAGCAGTGCAATCATTTTGAAATTTTTATCATTTACTTATTATGCTTCATTAATTACTTATACAAATATTCATTAAAATAAAACCATTTAAACTGGGTGTTCGGATTTATATGTCACTTAGTATATATCAAGAGCTCTAGTCATGTCTATCTCAAGCACCGTTATAATCTTTTCGCAATGCTCCTTACTTGTTATAGATGTAGCTCTAGAGAAAACTTCCTCGGTTGACTTGCAGTACGCCAGCGGATCAAAACTGTTTTAATTACGGTGTTTTTGGGTAAGCTTTCAAATACTTATTTGCAACCAATATGTTCACGGCAAAATAATAGGAACTGTTTTCCTTGATGCTCCAACTGTCAAGATTTTCTACACCGACCAACCGCTTTACAATTCAACTGAGGCGCATAAATAATAAGTTAATAAATACATCTTTATTTTGTGGTTCATAAATCCAGAATCAGTCGGTAGACATCCGTCAAGGTCTCGCGAAGCAAAGCTCATGCGACAATGAATGAGACTTGCTTGAAAATCCTCACTTTTTTCTTCGTCGATGACCACCGTTTACCAACACCCATCCTTACATCATATAGGTTTACAAAAGTGATAGTACAGTAATAAAGGACGAAAAGAATCACAAAAATAAAGTTCCAGTGTCGTGAGAATTTTCCGCATGCGACACTGAAGCGAAACGAGAATACCAATTTGCTGAAGAGTTCGACAATTTCGTGTGACAACTCTTGCTTCCGAGGCTCGAGAACACCCTTCAACTCTTTTTTTCCTGGAGCGTTTACTTGACAACAAACAGATGACCAATCGATTTTTAGGAAGGTGTGACTTATATTTGAGAAAACTTTGATATTGAATATTTTTCCTTCTATTTTTTGGTTGCACCCCGTACGGTGTCCAAAACAGCCTAAACAATTCCACAACGCGATTGCTGCGCTCACAATAGCAAGTTTGTACTTAAAGCAATCATTAGGAGGATTTACCTGTTACTAGGCTTATACCGTTTCTCTCCCGTTCTGCACACTGTAGAGAATCTACTTAAATTATTCTGAGCCTTTACTATGCATACTGCCGTCTCCGGTCAAGCGCAATAATGGCAGGTCTTAGTTTTGTTTCCTTGCTTGCTTGAATTAACACTTTGTTGTGTGATCCTGTCACCATTATAGGCCTAATGGGTCTTTCTCTTTGTTATGTTCTTGTCTTTTTCGGGCGAACAAAAATACTTATGGTTAAGTAGCAGAAAAAGATGATTGAGTCTAGGTAGATTATTCGGAAACTTGCAGAAACACAGGTCGGTACAATTGTACAGTACCATTTTTTTGTATATTATTTATTAATGAAGAACGTATGTTGTGTATAATAATATAGTAGGGGGGTGATAATTGATCTCGGTGGTATCCCGAATATAACTTTAGCACCAAGAGAGTATGCTTTCAGCCACGACATATTTGACTGAAACTGTTGTGATCTGTAATCGATAAATATGAGAAGAATACAACTATATTTACATTTTACTGGGGCATAATGAATGTTTTATAACTTGCATAGAAACAAAAATAATAAAAAAACGTAATGCGTGTTGCGTATCTTACAGTAGCCCTACAAAAATTAAAGAATTATTACACTCTCAACTACGCTGGGACAACCATATACAGTAAATAAATTGAGATATATTTTATACAAAATTGGGAACTATAAGCAAATTTTGACTATAGAACAGTTAAGGATAATTATGTCTCAATAGAAAGCTATATAAATTATTGAATAATAGTGTAACCACACCGACCGTTTAGCAAGAATCAAGAAAATAATAATGAAGACAATCTATAATAAAAAATGTCATTTTCAACTAAGCTTATGTACTTAAAAACCGAACTTTTTGATATAAGGCAAATCTGCTTCTATAGTACACAGTGTGTCCTAGATTTGCTTCTCTATACAGGAGTCTCGGCTCGATCTTTTATGCACTTGTGAGTCATCACTAGGTGTAAATTTCATGCTCTTTTCAAAAATCAAAAAATTCAAT